TAATATACGCACATTGCAACTTTTCTGCAATCGTTTATTTCGCTTGGAACACATAGATATCACAAAAAATGTAGGGGCGCGAATTACAATTTTACATGTCACTTGTCAGCCACATTAACGACTTCATCCCAGAATATTAACTTTTGTCAGTTTTCCTTGTAAACACTTTTTAAAGGACAATCTGAATCGTTTTGTTAACAAAATGAAAACAAAAGGATGAATGGCAAAGGATATACGTTGTAATGCTGAACATAAATGATAGGTATAAAATGTGACATCGACCCCTATCAATAATTGTATTCTCATTACTAACTGTGGGATCTTGAAAGCAATAAATATCGTTGTAAGAAATATACCAGATATAAAGCCTTTGCGTTCCCGTTTCAGAAAGTACCAAAATTGCTTGCGACAATCCGTCAAACGTTTGAAAGATACGTAAAGTTTGTTATAGTTTAAAATATATACGATCACAAGAACAATAATCAAAATAACGTCCAATATAATTCCGACAATGCTGAATCGAACAAATACGTCAGAGGGCATCTCAGAACAGTCGTTTAAATGCCGATAGCGAGCTTGTATCCAATAATATGACAATGGTACAACAACAAAATTAGAGAGACCACATACCAGTTTCACTATACATGGTTTAGTGAAGTATCCAAATTTTAGAATGCTGACACATCGCTCAATCATCACATAAACAAGAGTAACAGAATAAACTACTTGCGACATACTGTTGACCACTGTGAAAGCGACGCATTCCATCACTGCAACTTCCCTTAAATGCAGTATATGCATTATTTGTTGAATACCACACACCATCAACGCTACAAAGCCATAAAGTATATGTAATATATGAATACCACTTTCATTGTCTCGTAACATTGGAACTTTTATCAAAATAATTATAACACAAGCATCTCCAAAAACTCCTACAATTATTGCTAAAATATTAATTACAGCGATTATAATGGAAATACTGTAGTTTAATTCCAAATTCCATAATGATTCTCTGGGTGATGTTCCATTCGACATAATTATAGTATGTTATGTCTTGCCTTGTTCAGAATCAAATGTTGTATTCATCTCCTACTGACGTTTATGTCATTACTGGCACGATAAAGAAAAGAGATACTTGTCACTTGCTAGAGCTAGCATCACAAAACAATACAATGATACAATGAATATGATAAGACGTAAGATTTTATAAAGCGATTTTATAAACAGGCATATTATCATTGAAATACTTGTTAATTGATTATTAGCATGCATGATATAGGTATTACATTGTTTGCATTCTTGCTCTCATGACACCAAGCACGATCATGATTGATTGGTGGGTAGATGATAACTTGACGCAAGCTTCCAGCAAATGCTGATATCGCAGATTAGTTTTTAGGCGTGACCTACAACTTGTTGGGGTCTTATTTGGCTTGTAGATAGTTGTTTGAGGATTCGCCGTAATTAACAATAGTTAATTAATTTGCGATTCGAATCTTTAAAAAAAGGGAAAATCGAATTATGTTTTACGTCACCTATTCCATTATACTTGATTTGTTAATGCAGGCAGATCTGACAGGTCTGAATTAACGACTTGGTACTTATTCAATTCAGTAAGAGAAAAGGGTGTCGAAGAAATTGACCTTATCAGATATCTTATTTTTATATCTGGTGAGCGAGGCCACTGCTGCTCATCCTTTCCTGATTAAATGGGCATTCATTTTTTTCGTAGGTCGAAATTTTTTTCTCAAATTAATGACATCAAATTCCAAATCTAGACCAAAAATTACTAAAAAAATAGGCATGCAGCAACCTCAAAAGGGGGAGAGAAAGATGATTTCTAGAAATAGCCTGGACTACATTGGCCTGGACTACATTCGATACAATCATTTTGATAAAATGGGTTAGTGGAGAGAGTCCTATAGACTGCATGGAACGACAACTCTGTATGAGAGAATGGTAGCTCGCCTCTATTAACGTCATAAAAAAGTAAAGTTTTAGTGGAATTGCATGAACAACAGACGTCGGAATGAATATTGGAATGATGCAAATTGAAGCTATCAGTGTCCCCGAAACACATAAAAAATTTAGAAACCTTTGAAATGGCAAGTCTTTCTTTATAAAGGCCCAACTTACAGCTTAGGCCTATCTTGTTTAATCTGCTTTCTATTAGTATTTTCGGCGTTTTCGAGGTTTATCTTCAATATATATTCCGAGTCATAAGTAATAGACATGTACCAAAATCGCACAATTCTTTCAGAAATATCACAAACTAGGAATTTCGCATTCTATTTCGATGATTTCTGTTTACCTGATAAATGCTTCTCGATCTCCTGATTTCTGTGACAGAAGTTTAAGAAAAGACGAGTCAAACGCAAAATTCTTGATACACATAGATTTAAAGGCTTAAATTTGGCGGTGAGCTTTGAAGCACATTGTGGACATATAAAATCGCTTCCACATCCTTTCGTATCGATCGACATTATATGATTCATGTTTTCTGTGCTTTTTTAAGCCGTTATTTGTAAATAGGTCTAACATATTTAAAAATATTTTAAGATATAATTTACAGTTTTTTAAATGTTTGCCATAGCCTACTGCCATTTACGATTAGACGCATTGCTAAGCCAAGGGTATATTTCAGTAAATTTTCATAACTAAATGAGAGAGTTACTCTCTGACTCAATTATATTCCTGTTCAATCTGGCATATTTGGGTTCATTTGAGTACTATGTCTTGGTGCGGGATTTCAACATGGCTGCCCCCATGAAAACGTGAACTTGATTGAAAGATTTACATCATAAAATTTTAAGGTTTTTAACTACCGAATTAAGAACAGATCAAACCATGTTAAGACTCTCAGTTACAAACCTTGCACATCTTACTGTCAGGTAGAATTATTGAATTAGTAATTGATCTTTCGTGTAGTAGATCTCAAGTGAATACAAATTGCAATGTTATGTTATTATCATCATTACGTCTTCGACATCAGGCTACTTTTTATCGCACCTTCGCCGGTAGATCGAATTTTACTGATTTTTTTTTTATTAGAATAGGAATATCTAATCTCTATGGTAGGAGGCAAGACACTAAAACAAAACAGAAGGCCAAGACTACTCTCTGACTACATTGAGCTTTGAATTAATTTTTTTCTCTCATTTCATAGATATACAGTGGTGTTTACAACCTATTTTCGTGTAATAAGGATTCAACACCGAATTTCGTCAAAGTTAAAAAAAAAAAATTTTTTTTTATGTCTTAGATGTTTCCTCAGATATTCTACAAAATAATTAAAATTTTTTTGTTCCGATTTTCTTTATGAATCCCTCACTTTTACCCATATTTCATAAGCAACCAACTCAGAATGCGTCACCTATTTTCATGTACAATGTTAAACAAACTTTGATCTATAAATAAGTCAAGAAAAACACGTATGGATACCGGGTGGTATAATTAACTTCTCTTAGGATTTATCTTTAATATCAATTCATTATAACTAATGACAATTCCTTGAAAGAACCACGATTTTGAAAAAAATAGTGACTGACAAAATAAGATATGTAGCGTGATTTATTGCTAAAAGTCACTGAAACAACATAAGAATATGGCCCACTTTGTGTTCCATAGAAATTTTCAACTGATACGGAATCCGCTAGTTGATCATGTGACTTCAATCGCAGACGACACTTGGAATTCCGATTACCGCTTGGGATTATGAGGAAATTCGACCGATAAAAAAATTGTGACGTTTGGTAATAACTGAAATCCGCCATTTTATATTTGTCAAAGTACACATAAATACATTTTACCTTGCTTGAAACTACTAGATTCATTCTACTAACTGACATTGTACAGAAAACCTATGTTTATCAAAACAAGCTAATGTCTTAAATATTTCCTCAGATATTCTAAAAATTTGTTTGTTTCGATTTTCTTTATGAATCCCCCACTTTGACCAATATTTCATGAGTAACCAATTCGACAACGGCGGCAAAATGCGTCACCTATTTTCGTGTACAATGTTTGATCTATATATAAGTCGAGAAAAACACGTTGTATGGATACCGGGTGGTACAATTAAAGTCTCTTACTATTTATTTTTAATATCAATTCATTATAACTAGTGACAATTCTTTCAAAGAACCACGATTTAAAAAAAAATAGTGACTGACAAAATTAGATAGATAGCGTGATTTATTGCTATAAGTCATTGAAACAACATAAGAATAAGGCCCACAATGTGTTCCATAGAATTTTTCTGCTGACACGGAATCCGCTAGTCGATCACGGGATTTCATTCGTTATAATATATTCTGGCAGACCACACTTGGAATAAAAGTAAAAAAAATTGTCAGAACACTTTAAATAAAAAATTAACTTGACCAAAATGAAAGTTGTGACCATTTTATACGGGGTCGAGGTGAAGATCGGAGAAGTCGTGAAAATGGTTGTCGATATTTTTTCTCCATTTTCACGACTTCTATAGTAGTAAATACGAGATTAAACCCACTATCGAACGGAAATTAACAACATTGACCCTGTGAACACGGTAATCACAAGAGGTATCCAACAAGGCATATATCTCTGATAGGTATGAAAAAGGCAGGTAACTCCGAATGACGAGGTTATATCTAAGAATGTATGGTGGTCAGAATCTGCCGTGTATGGTGATAAAACACAAAAAATGATGATTTTTCACAATAAAGTCGTGCTTGGCCCAGTTTTTTGTTGTGATGTATGCCACGGAATTTCAATATGTTTCAGTTTCATAGAAATAATGAACAAAATCGAAACTTATCGGTAAACTGTGCATTTTCCAACAAAATTTTCAATCTTTATCATGATTCCAGAATATCACATAATACATATTTCAGGTTAATAAAAACCAAACACAGGCTCTCCAAATCTTCCATTGTAGGAATAACAAAATAAAAATATTTCTTCTGCCTTACAGGAGATGTTTATACAGCACCTCTGTAAGAGATAAGATACATGTTTATAAAACTGGTGACAAGATACATGGATACACTGTTCAAGAGGTAGGCTAATTTATTGTGTCTTCAATACATCCTAAACTACTACATATTTCTACCTTCTAATCCTCTTATTTAAGATGGAGATTTTTACCTTGTCTTCAAACCCATCAATCAATTGTATGATTTTATAAGTTGAAATTCATTGACTCACAGTAGACTGTTGGAGGACCATGGTCCTATCTATTTAATGATAAGGAGAATATCAATGCTCTGTCAGTAGTGGCAAGTTTGCTCTGTGTGGGAATCCCCTCAATGTTCAGTGGTTCAAAATAACAGTAACACGATAATCTTTTCTCCCATTGAACATAAATCATCCTGTTTTTGTTTGAATTGTGACATCACCTAATTTCAGATAGTAGATATTCCTGAGTTATATTTAACTGCTATCAAACTACATCATGATAAAACAGGGGCCAGACATTTACATGCTGCTAGAGAGGATGATAATAATCTATTTAGGTAAGAGAGTGTAGGACAGTTGCTCACCAGACAAGTCCTCACCAATAGAATGAGAAATAAGACAATTGCTCACCAATAAAATGAGAAATAAGACAATTGCTCACCAACAAAATGAGAAATAACACAATTGCTCACCAATAAAATGAGAAATAAGACAATTGCTCACCAACAAAATGAGAAATAAGACAATTGCTCACCAAAAAAATGAGAAATAAGACAATTGCTCACCAACAAAATGAGAAATAACACAATTGCTCACCAATAAAATGAGAAATAAGGCAATTGCTCACCAACAAAATGAGAAATAACACAATTGCTCACCAATAAAATGAGAAATAACACAATTGCTCACCAATAAAATGAGAAATACGACAATTGCTCACCAACAAAATGAGAAATAACACAATTGCTCACCAATAAAATGAGAAATAAGACAATTGCTCACTAATAAAATGAGAAATAAGACAATTGCTCACCAATAAAATGAGAAATAAGACAATTGCTCACCAATAAAATGGTGATAAATAAAATAATATTACGCACCACAATTTTGTGGTATTATAGTATTTTTCTGTTCATGTTCAAATTTTAAGACCTAAGGCTCATTTTTACAAATGATGGCGGGATCATATTTTGACAATACATGGCACATTCTGACAATTCAAATTACCACTGGAATCGCATGATTCATCAATCAGTATTAAATATCAACAACGCAACACTTCAAGTGTCAAAACAATCAACATATGTGAATCATGGTATTTTGGTTTTCGGCCATCCTTCTGTTTGGATTCAGATTCATAGTCTGTCTGTTGTTGCCACACTGATTCTTTGGGACCAACAATTTAAAGTTGATGATGATCTCTATTTAAATTATAAAATGTTTTTTGTTTTCCTCATGGTTTTTGTAATTAAGGTCATTAAAAATATGATGATTTGTTGTTATTAATGATCTCCTGTGAAAAGAAACATTGTGGTGAGCAAATGTTCTATTTCTTATTTCAAGAATATTACCTTGTAAAATGACATAAGATTTGAATTGATAGACTTGGACAATAAGATTGTATATTCATCAGTTGAACTTATCTGTTATCATAAAAATACACAGCATCCCTTTATGATCAGATGAATCCATAAAACTTATTTATGAACAACAATTTTTTTTATTGATATAGACTTCTATAGAAATTGTTCTTAATGTGCAATGAAAATACTAAATGGCTCACAAGGATTAAAACTTGAGAACTCTTTTCACCTGCTTTGATAATTTTTCATCTCTGTAGTGTTGGTTTTCGTACAACACCAATGGACAGTACAGGAGTTCCACACATTCTAGAACATACAACTTTGTGCGGGTCACAGAAATTCCCTGTTCGAGATCCATTCTTTAAAATGCTGAGCCGTTCCTTAGCAACTTTCATGAATGCTATGACAGGTAAGAATAGTGCTGCAAATATACAGAAACTCCACTTATTTTGATCAAAGTTTATTAGTAATCTGCTCATGTGTGTTAAGAATTATCCGCGTTTGAAGGTTATAATTGCAACTCGTCATACATAGACAATACATATATAGAAATAGAAAGTGAAATTCCTAGTTGGAGGTATATTTTAAGAGATTATAATGGTGTTCTAGTTCCTCTGAAGTCCACATCTTACATTTAAGACCATGAAATCATCCCACGAAAATGGCGAATCATGACCCTTTCAATTTAAAGGGACATTCTGCTTTTTTGTAGGCCCAAAAATTTTTTTTTTTGCTTAAATTTGTGAAAACCATACCTCAAAATCTAGAGAAATATGTCCTTTGAAATTTCTGAAATTTTTAACTTAAAAAATCCAGCCGTTGACTTTTAAATGCCAAAAATATTTGAAAACATTAAGTAAGGGTTTAAAGTTCGTTATGCTTTTTGGAAGGTAAACTACTATTGTAGAGAAATATGTCTCCTATGTATTTTAAATGTTTCAACTAATAATATCGAGCCATTATCAAGCCAAACACCAAAATTAGGTCAAACATCTGTTTTTATACGCTCACATCTCTCTATGTGGACGTATATTGTCGGCACCCCCGTCTGTCGGTTCGTCGGTACGTCCATCTAGATTTTTTGATGAAATTATATGTATACATATTTATAAATTGAATATCAAGTTCGAATTTGAGCTATTTTCGACCGTTAGAAGCAGAGTTATTGCCCTTGCCCGAAAATCTTGATTATGGTATTATTCTCTTTAGTTTTCAACAGATTTTGATGAAACTTAAAATGGATGTTTCGTTTTTACCATCCGCATGCCGTGGTGGGCGTATATGGCTGTGGTCCAATCTGTCGTTAATCTTTAATTAATGCTTGTAAAACAAATTCAGTTTTTTTCAAGAAGATTCAAAGACATAAATAGCATACTTTAGAAATATTTTCAGGTATAATTTACGATGTTTTTAGTCAAGTAAACAGTCTTAACTTTGATTTTAACAGACCCTCAAAAATGGTTACATCCAGATTCGAAGGTTTATGTTTCTGTTTAATGTCTTTTAGCTGATGACTGGACAATCTATCCTTTCTCTAGTCAGAATTACCAAGACTTTCAGAATCTGCTGTCAATATATCTTGATGCTGTGTTTTATCCCAAACTTAGAGAGTTAGACTTCTGGTAAGGGTTTTTTGTTTGATATTTGGAGATTAAATAAATACTGAAAGTTTTACCCTAGTTCTGGTCTCTCCTCAGTTATATGCTTGCATGATATAGTATTCTGTCGATATGAGATTATTCTTTTTCTGTTTCTGACATTGTGGTTAATGAGAACATAAAGACAAAACGATGTCGTAATATCTTAACTGGTTATAATGGAACTTAATATGCTTGTGAAATTAATCATACCTTTGATGATTCTGCGTCTCTTGCACAATCTAATTAAAATTGATGTCATTTCAGATATCTTTTTTTCTGCTTTTTTAGATTTACATTCTAATTAAGAAGCTATTATCTTTTCGTTGTAATCTAAATTAAATCTAATTTTAAAGATGGGTTTCCTCATTTTTTAGTGTCAAATTAAGCAAACTATTTGATTTATTGATGTTTCTAATGAATATTATGTATTCTTAATCATATCATTATGTTACTCTTACCTATAATTCAGAGTGTTAACCAATCATAAATATCCATGTGTGTGCAGTCTGGATAAATATAAGAAAATACTGTTTGACCTTTCTTGATCGGTCACTCTTTGGAATTCTGCTGGCATTTCTCTTCTTATTAAGCTAATTATGAATTAAAATGCGGACATGTGAGACCAACTGGTATTTTTCCAAATCATTAGAACACCTCTACTGTCTATTCATATAACTATTAGCGTTTACATTTTCATCAATTAAATAAGGGAACCCATCTTTGATTAGATTGTCTCCTGCAAGGCATTTTCCTTGATAAACTTGATACATCAATATTGATTTGGATATTGAAAGTAAACTGAAATTAGAAATTGAAAAATTTTTCATCTTCATGTTCTTGTAGCCAAGAAGGTTGGAGGTTAGAACATGAAGACCCTAAAGATCCTAAGTCACCTATTATATTTAAAGGTGTGGTTTATAATGAAATGAAAGGTGTTTTTGTAAGTAAACCTGTCTACCTCTATCAGCCTAGAGTAATACTACCTCTATATATAAGATATAAAATTTATATTCTCCAACAAGTGTATAATTATATTCATCAGTTGGCCTTACCAGTTGCTATAACTAAAGAATAGAATCTCTATATTAGACGATATTTCCATTTAACTAAATAATTATTAAAACACACTTCTAGGCATGTTTCAAAATTACTTAGTTTAATGAAATATTACTTAGTTTAATGGATTATTACTTAGTTTTATGGATTTATTGGATTATAGAGGGATTCTTTTGTATAGTTATGAAACCACTTAAGTCCACTGATAGAACAAGGACTTATTTTAGCCAAGTTTAAAAATATGAATCTAAGATAGTAAACTTTGACTTAATAAAAACATGTTAAATTTGGCTTGTAGGCACTATAAAGGCTACAGTTTTAATCTGATCTTGATGAAACTTGCTATTCTTGTATATATTGATGAGATTTAAGTCAGATTTAAAATTGATAACAGTCGAATGAGTGGTTTCGGAGTTATTGCCCTTCACTTAGTAAAAACTTATGAAATTTGACTTGTAGGCATGATAGAGACTACAGTTTTTATACAATCTTAATAAAACATAGTATGCATATATATATATTGATGAGATCTTGGTCAAGTCTGTAACTGGCAATAATGGAATGAACAGTTTCAGAGTTTCAGAGCTGTTGTGTGTACGATTAAGAAACCTTGTTCATGTTTTAATTAAATAATAATTTTGATGAGCTCTTTTTGTGGTTCAGCTGTTAGTAAACTGATCTTTCAAAATTCTCACAAATGTTGTCGTACAACCCTGAAAATATTAAAATCATTGAATAAAAGTTGTAGGCCCTGAACAAAAAAGCATGTCAAAAAATACAATATCAACCTGTCTTCAGTGTGCCCTCCATCTTCTTCGACCACCGATCGCAACCATTTTTTTCCATCTCAAGATGCTGTTACGGATCTCATGTAAAGGTATCTGCTTCTAAGAAGCGACTATCCTGCCTTTCAGTTTCTGTTCAGTCAGATTGTTCCGCTGACCCTGGTACAACTTTTTCTGCAGAGAATTTCAAATGGCATAATCCTTTGGATTACATTCTGGAGATTGGGGCGGCACGTCATTCTTAAGAATAAATTCTGGTGTAGCCTCCTGCAGATATGCATGGGATACCTTGTTAGTATGCTATTGCATTTTTTGATATGCTATTTTGTTCGGGGCAGTACTTGTACAATTTTACAATTTTTACGATTGCTTCCATAATTTGGACGAGGACATCTTGAAGTATATCTGTGAGAATTTTAAAAGAGATCAGTTTACCAACAGCTTTTTGAGACACCCAATATACTGTTATTCAATAGTGTGTTGTTATCATAAAATAAGTACTTTTGTCAAGTCGTCCATACTCAATTTCCAGTCTAGTTCGAAGAATATTTATACTCAATATCTACATAATCAACTATTACCTAGCCATACGTATGGTGTTGTTTCTGGTGGAGACCCAAAATATATTCCAAACTTAACTTGGAAACATCTGTGTGATTTTCATTCTACACATTATCATCCATCCAATTCCAGGTTTGTCAAAGTTTTTTTTTATGCCTAAATAACTCTCTATTGTGGACATGTTTTGTGATAAGAATCTATCTGTAGTGTACTTAGTGTAGCGCTCATTACTGCTCTGAGCATTAAGTGGTAGAAAGAAACTTTAAAAGAGGATGGTCCAGAAATTTATGAAGCAAAAAATTTGAAAATACATTGAACAAATTCAGAAACTTAAACTTAAAAATTTAATTTTAAGGACAAACAATGTGTACTGTTAGATGTGTTTGTATCAAATTTTCTGACCCAGGATAAGATATCTGCCCTATTTTGTGGTGCTGCCTTAAGATTTTTGTCTCTTTCTCCCTTACAGATTTTTTACCTATGGTAATTTTCCTGTAGAAAAACACTTGGAATATATCAATAATGAATACCTGAAACAATTTAAGAAGATAGATGTCAATACCTCAGTACCTTTTGAAACAAGATGGTCCACACCAGTAAGTAGTAGTTCTTATTCCAAATTCTCTTGATAATAAAAGGATAGATCATATGTTTTACATTAATTAGTGCTGATATGATACATCAACATGATGAATTGCAGTATGACATGCTAAGTATGAATCATTTGGCGGAGGCCACGGAATTGTCAAGGGGGGTTCACAGCATCAGGCATATAAGAACTCAATGATATAAAAATTAAGAGAGTGGGGAGCCTTGTTTAACTTCTTAGATGTTGTCTGAACCCTCTCTACGATTAGAAGTTGTCTTTAAGGGCCATTTTTGGGGTTAATTTGAGTCTTGAATATATGTAAATAGTCTTCAGAAGTACTAGAATTGTATGAAAATTGCATAATTCCTTCAAAAATATCTCAAACTAGGAATGTCTTTTTCTATTTGTATAGATGTCTTTTCTGTATAGGGCATTTCTCAACTCTTTAACTTTCAAACGCAGATAATTCTGGACACACATGGATTTGAATTTCAAATTTCAACAGTGAACTGCGAACTGCGAAGATTATTACATGTACTTTATTGGCTTAGCTAAATAATTAGTGAAGACCAAATTATCTTTAAGACTAAAGACTTTTTTATGTTTTAGAAAAGTGGTCAAATAACATGTGCACCTGACCCTCTAGCAGCCGACCCTAAGAAGCAGACAACAGTTTCAGTATCATATCTTTTATCAGAGTAAGTATCAGATAAGTACCATTATTCTAAGGTCAAGAATTATATTGTCAGTGACTATTTTTTTTTTAAATCATGGTTCTTTGAGGGAATTGTCATTAGTTATAATCAAATGTTATTAAAGATAAATACTAAGAGAAGTTAATTATACCACTGGGTAACCATACAATGTGTTTTTTACTCGACTTATTCATAGATCAAACATTGTACACGAAAATAGGTGACACATTTTGCAGCAGTTGTCGAGTTGGTTACTTGTGAAAAATAGGATTCATATATAAAATCGAAACAAACCAATTTTAATTCTTTTGTAGAACATCTGAGGAAACATCTAAGACATAAAATAAAATTTATGTTTTTTTAACTTTGACGAATAAAGGTGTTGAATCCTTATATCCACGAAAATAGGTTACACCACTGTATATTCTAATGATATATTTACTTGACAATATTTATATTTTTATGATATATTTACTGGATAATAT